CCCCCTGAATTGGCTAGATTTCCGTTGTCTCACGAATTTCCTGCTGCCGCACGCGCCGCGGCGACGACTGCCCCCTCCGAGCCGCATTGCGCCCAGAATCTTGACTACTCTTAACTCTTGTTTACTTTGTATATGGCTTAACTTTTTCAGACATAAGCAGGCAATATGGCATCCGTGCTATGCCAACCTTCGTTCTGATAAAAGAAGGCAGGGAAATGGAGCGAATACAGGGTGCAAACCCACAAGCATTAGAGCTAGCTATAAATAGGTGTGTGATTCTTCTTGTTTACTGACCATCAAATCAGCTTTGACTGATTTAGACACTACTCTTCCACACCGGCTAATCCGAATGCCGCCACTGATCGCGAGAAACAGTTTCTCCAACAGTTCGTTCCTTACGTTGACAAGGTAATTCCCTTTAAGTAGCGATTTTATGATTTTAAAGCGTTTTGGAGATATCTTCTGTGAATTCAGGTCAAGCTGTATTCGGATATTGTTTATAAAACTCTCGCAATCAGCTTGATTCCTGCTGATGATTTGCGTCAGCGAGCAACTGATGAGAATGGTGTCCTAAATCGATTCCAGTTGGCTAAAGGTTCCTCTATTTCAATTTTGCTCTTTACAATTATTCCAAGTCTCATCTCTACACCGTAGTACAATAATTTTTGTTGCTGAATGTTACCAATAGGGAAGACTACTTTTACTGTTTCCTATTGTATGTCAATCAGCTCTTAGAACTTTTTTGTTTGGCACTACGTTTATGTACGTTTCGACCTTCTCGTCTCCTTTAGAATAGTCGGAAGCTTTTTGATTTGTTGGCACTCGATCTACCATTTCTAGCGTTTTCGACGACATGTCGAGAAGAACATTAGGCTGGTGTCAGAGTCCGCGATCCGTCGCAGGTTTCGCTGATTTTCGCGATTTGCGCGATTCACGCGACGGATCGCAAAAATTGCAAGTGTGTGAACATTTGAAACACTGAATATGAAACAAGTGGAATCATGAGCAGTCGTCATTCAGCCATCACTATCAAGCAGAAGTGGCGGCAGGATTGGAGAACACCTTGCAGTATTGATCGGGCACTTGTGATTTCCGTGACCCGTCGCGTGAATCGCGAAAATCAGCGAAACCTGCGACGGATCGCGGACTCTGACACCAGCCTTACCAAGAACTCAGGTCAGTAACGAGAAGACTAAAGGCCACCGATGTGGAGCACTTGCTTACGCCCTCTAGTAGTGGCATGTGAGTAGAGCGAGTGATTCTCCCTCAAGTTTCGTAATCAAAAATGTGTCATTAGTACTTCGCGCTTACAGCTCGCATTTTTGAAGGAAGCGATCACGCTGGCTTCCACGCTGGATTTGCTACCCTCGCGTTATCAATCGATAAGGTGTTAGGCATTGTTCATAGTTTTGGAACCATCGGAATATTCGAATCTGCGAAAAGAAAAAGATACGTATCGACCAGGTGAATCCGCGCACGCGCGAACGCGGATGCGAAAAGGTTTAGATGCGTATCGACGTAGTAAACCACGCCCTATTAGCGTTGCTAGAGGATTTTCGCACCGCCGTTTCGATGCTGCGATCTCCGATTGACTGATCGATAGACACTCATTCCTTTTAAGAGGATTCGCAGATTCCAATGCGCGATTCGAGCTCCTCCCATTTTGTGGATCGATACGCATTTCATTCATTTCGCATTTGCGCAGATTCGTTCGGTTCGAGCGTCCTCCTCTCGTGGCGCAAACTATGAACAATGCCTGAGGCAGTAATTGTTGGACGAGTGTAAGCCCATGGAAGATATGATACGATGAGATAAGAAGGTGCGGCTGCTTGATAAGAGGTGCAGAACAGGA